TGGTAGCGGGTAAGATGCAGCTGCCCCTCCACATGGTCAGTGCAGGCAGGGTAAATGCCTGATGAGCAGCATCACTGGTTTAAGAATCTCACTGCTGGTCAGAAATGTTTCCAGCAAATCCGTTTCAAATAGAAAGTGCTGACTTGTTCTCTATAGGAACACATCTGCTTTGGCAGAACTCGTTACTGGAGTTTCTGAAATCCAAGATAGTCTAGCTAGTCAAGCAAAGAAAAAACACTCCACCTCCTGAAGTTAGTAGAGCTGTGCTCCCCTCCTCTCTGGGGCTTTTCCAGCTGTTCCAAAAGGGGAAGGAATTAAAGTAAATGTAGACCCTTGCGCTTGTGCGTGGGGTGGAACTGACTTTGCAGCCAACACGCCAGTCTGGAGCTCTCCTGAGGCTCCATTTATGAGAGACGGATTGGGCACAACTGGAGCAGCTCTGCTGGGCTGCAGGGACAGGGAGTAGCTCAGTACTGGTTTTGGAGAAACTAGGGGAGGGGCTGGGCTATCATCCCCACCTGCTGTTGGACACCAAAGGGAGGAGGAGATGGTTCTGCTTGCTCTCCTGACAAGCTGTGGCCAGAAAACTTTGCTGGCTCTCGAAGCGGGTGATTGCCGAACGCAGGCTTGTGCCTCGGGCACACTCACCTGCACACAGGACAATCCTGCAGGAGGCTTGTGGCTCAGTGGCACCAGGAGCGATGAGTTGCCCAGGTCTGACTTGTGCTGAACAGATGGGCAGAGACCTCCTTCCTTCCTCCCTTCCCAGGCACAGGCCCCTGGCCTGGCCTGGCCCGGCAGCTCAGGCTGTACAGCTGGCAGTTGCCTTTCAGGCTTTGTCCCAGGCCGAAGCTGGACTTTGCTGCATGGCTGTTCTCAGAGGTAACCACATCCCGCTAAAGCTCAGGGTGGGCAAGGCTTTGCTCCTGCTCAGGAGGTCCCTGTACAGGCCTGCGGCCAGGAAAGCAGAGAGGGTGTCACAGGGCTCACTGCAGAGTCCTCAGCAAACCTAAAATAAACTTTCAGGTCTGTGGGATCGTGACTGCAGCTGGGGCAGGGGTGAGGTTTAAAAGGACTGGTGTAGCCTCTGACTTGGGCTCATTTCCTCCTGTAGAAAGAACAAAGCTGAGCAAGATGTTCCAGGGAAGGATCCAGAGCAATTGGTGTCACCTCATGATGCAGGCAAGACAGGAGGACTTAAAAATGGAAAAGGTGCTCTTTCCTTCGCCCACTAAATTAAAAGTGTTATGGAAATAAAAGACATCAAGGCTGGAATAAACTACCCACTCTGGGCTCTTCCTTTGGCTGACAGCACAAGTTCCTGGATTTTTAGGTGACAGACAAAGGGGCTGCCAAAGTCATCTTCCCTCGTGCTGTGCCCAGTGTTACAGTGGCTGTGTGTCCTAAAAAAACCCCTTGTTTAAAAATTGTCCCCCATCGGGTGGGCCATCCTGTAATGCTGCCTCTGCAGAGAGCCAGGTGCAGCTCCCCGAGTCCCTGGGGCGGCTCCTGGGAGAAGTCTGTGGTGGTGCAGGAGCACTTGGGTTTGCAACCACCTACGCTTTTCTTTTTTCTTTTTAAAAACCAAAATGAAACCAAACCAACCCCCCCAAGCCAAACCCCAGTTCTTAGCTGGAACTAGGCCTCTGCTGCTCCTCTCCTGCCTCCTCCTGGGCTGAGGCCAAATCCACCCGCTGCTCGTCCATGCGTTTTGCCTGGACGCGCTGGATGAGGCTGAAGAAGTCTTCATCTGGCATCGTGGGGCCACGGGGAATGGAGTCTGGAGGCGCACAGCGCTGGTCATCTATCCTGGAGGACTGCACGGGGAGAACAGGCGTTAGGACTGGGTCCTGCTGTGGAAGTAAAGGGCTGGGAGCAGTGCCCAAGAGGTGTCTAGAACACGCGTTCCCAGCGGGGGGCACAGGGCAGTGGGACCAACTCCAGGGTGAAGGGAAGAGCAGTGGCGCAGCCCAGGGCTGTAGGCACTGCCTGGGAGGTGGGTTCTCCAACCACCCCCTTGCTTGTAGTGCAGTGTCAAAGTGCCACCCTCAGTATGGGGCGAAAAGAAGGACCTGGAGGCAAAGACAAGTCCTGCCTGGGTGCCCAGAGCTGTGGGTGGGCAGCTGCTGGCCACAGCCCCTCCCAGCAGGGCAGGTGGGATCAGGGGATGGCATTTGCCTGTGTGCAAGAAACTAGTGTCCCCCCTCCAGCTCGGCAGTCTGCTCGGCCCTTCCGGTACCTGGCACTTCATCAGCATGTTGAAGAACTCGTCCCCGGGCTCCTGGGCATCCCCCTCCACGCGCAGGTGCCCCAGGTTGTTGTGTGTTATCCGGAGGCCTGGCAGGTTGCCCACGTTGGCACGCTGGTCATCCAGTCGTCTGCTCTGGGAGCTGGCGATGAGGTCGAAAAACTCCTCTGTCTGCGGAGACGCCATTAAGGAGGACTGGGCTGTGCGGGAGGAAGAGGAGCACACAGCGGGGTCACGGCTCTGCCTGCCTGTGCCTGAGCTGCCTGCAGAAAGCCCAAATCCTTCTCATGGCCGAACTGCTGTTCGACCAGCCGGGCTGCAGCTGAGCCTGACGCACTGCCCCGCAGGCCGGGGTCTGGCTGTCCGGCCTCCTGGTGAGCCAGGGAGGATGGTGGCTTCTCATGCGACTGGCAGCATCTCCCTGCACCCTGCATGGGGGAGCAGGAACAACCCCAGCGCTGGGAACACAAGCAAAGACCCACCATCAAAGCAACGAGTGTTACTGGGACCAAACCCACTGCCCCATCACACAACCAGTCCCTCCCTCCTCTCAAGGCGGGTGCCAAAGCACAGCCCTTCCTACCCACCTCCCAAACTGCATCCCTGCAGCTGCCCTGCATGAATGGCAGGGCGGGCCGGCCGGGAGCACACG